CCCCCCCCCCCCCCCACCCCCGAGCCTCAACTTAGGGTTGAGGGATCATGGGGATGATCTCAGTGCTGTGAAGAGCCAGCCTTTGTCACTCTGTCGGCGACAGATACGAGGGTCTTTGCATGGTCGCTTGCCTGCCCCGAGCCAAGGATAACATTGGCAAGTGCGCCTTCACTGCCATCCAGGTGCAAAGACCCGAAAGAGTAAACCCCAGAGCCTGCTGTTGCACCCAGTCACATCTTCAAACCCCCCCCCCCCCACCACAGATTTCCCACAGCAGCAGCTGCTAAGAGGAAGCTCAGCCTGTAGATCCATAATAAGCATGATGCTTATGTGCGATTAACTCCTCTCACAGATACATAAATTTCATGAAGCTGGCGAGACATCTCCAGACCAGAGTCTACGTACGTCGGGTCCCTCTCCCCGGCAGCAAGTTCAGACCAAGAATCCGGGTTTGGCTTCTTGATTCGCAAGTCTCCGTTCTCTCTGTGAATGAAGTCTAGGCGAGGTGCTTCCTCGGATGAGTAGCCCATCACTACAAGAGAGCCGGGAGTCTGTTTGGGCTTTGCTGGGCATTGAGCAGTGGTCCTCCGGGAGAAGCCTTCTGAAGCTTCTGTAGATGGAGCGGGGTGCAAGAGTGGCTCGCTAGCCGCGACTCCAATCCGGCTTTTGCATGGGTCTTGCGTTTGAGTCTCATGTGCTGCTGAAATGCCCTTAAAGTGCCTTAAAGCCTGAGGGAGTGGAGGCGGTTGACTTCTCAACGGTGTACTGTGTCACTCTGTCAGCCCAGTGAGTTTTCGAAACCTGACGAGCTGCTGGTGGAGGCATCGCCTTCCTTTGCCATCTCCTTCCCCGACTTCCTCAAGCCCGGAATGCGGTGTTTCATTCCGCAGGCCGGACTTACAGGGGTTTTAGGGCTCAAGGTTTTTGGACCTGGGCTTAGGATGAGCTTCGTGTCTTGTAATTTCCAGGCCATCGACCAGGATCCCTACTTCCGCCTCTGTCGGCGAGTGGCCGACGACTTGAGCTTGGGACCGCGCACAAGAAGGGAAGGGTCGTGGGCTTTGTCACAGGATTCATGAATAACAATATTCACTGCCATTGTTATTACGTTACTATACGGTTGCAACCATTATTGTGATTATTGTTGTTCTTCTTCTGATGATTGTTGTTCTTCTTATTTTGTTTATTGTTATACATTCATTATGGCTACTATTAGCTTTTACGATTACCCCATTATGATTTGTGGAGTATGAATGTGACATTACTATCTCGGGCCTCTGGGCTTCGGGCGTTTGGAATTTCGGAACTCCTCCAGCGGCTGGAGGGTCAGGTTTTCGGGTTTACGGCGAGAGAGGAGCAATAGGAATCTCAACAGAGTTGTTAATTCAATGCTCCTGCTTCCTGCGATTTTGTTCAAGAACCTGGTCTGGTAAAGGCTTCAGCACTTACATATGCCAACCTGAATCAGGAAGCCGATGTTCCTAAACCAGACCCAGGGTGAGGTCGTCACCCCCTAGTCGAAAACCCGACCAGGCCCTACCAGGGGCAGGATTGAAGCTGTATGAGTACCTTTGTGAATTCCGGCGTCTATGTCCCGAAGTCTTGCAATAACTTCATCGCCCATCCCTGAACCCTATGACTCCTAAAGCCCGCAGCCCCAGCCCCAAGATCAAGGAGAACAGCTTGATTCCTGTAGCCCTGGCCCCAAAGCCCCAAGAGGCGCACTCTAAACCCTAAACCTTAAACCCTAAACCCTAAACCCTGAACCCTGAACCCTGTAAACCCTAAACCCTAAACCCCACAGCACCCACCCCACCAAGGAAGTGGCCGAAGCCTGCGCTGGTCCACTCCAAGTTCCTCCCGGCTCTCCAAGGCTTGGGCCGGAACCCGAAAGGCTTAGGTGTGGGGCTTAGGGGTTTAGGGTTCAGGGTTGTTCAGAGTTTAGGGTTTAGGGTTGAGGTTTGGGCTGGGAGTTCAGGGTTCAGGGTTGTCTAGGGTTTATAGGGGTTTATGGGGTTTAGGGTGTTGAGGCTGGGAGTTCAGGGTTCAGGGTTGTTTAGGCATCAGGGTTTATGGGGTTTATCGGGTTTTGACCGGAAGTTCAGGGTTCAGGGTTTTTTTGGGCACCATAGGGTTTATCGGGTTTATGATTTTGGAGTTCAAGGTTTAACGCCCTAAGCCGCAGAGCAGCAGGGCCCGTGCACAGCGTGTGGGATTTTCGCCTCTCTGGAGGCCACCAGACCAAGATGTCCGCCTCGGTGGAGTCCACGGCGCTCTACATGACGGACACCCCGAAGAAGCTCCGGAGTCTCCGCGGAAAACAAGAAGGTAATTAGTATATTATACTGTAATTCTATTCTATACTGTCCTATTCTAGTAAGAAGCTCCGGAGTCTCTGCGAAAAACAACTGCCACTTACAGCCAGCCCCAGAAATCACACGGAAAAGTCCAAAGGGGCTTGACCCCCAAGCCGCAACCATCCCAAAAGAACGGACATGAACTCCGAAGCCTCTCCCGCCCCGCGTTCACCCCTTCGTCCCCCCATTCGGAAGTCGAACCCTGAAGCCCAGACCACTCCCAAAAGCGTGACTTTTCCCACGGGCCGAGGAAGAAGATCAACAAGAACGCCTTCTCCGGTGGCGGGAAAACATTGGAGGAGACACTAGCTTAGGGTTCAGGGGTTCAGGGCGATAATCTGTCGGTCGAAGCCGCTTTGGCTTCCACCTCTTAGGGTTGAATGGGCCCGGGCTTTGCTTGATAGGAGGGCTGGCCAGCTCCTGCGTGGGGTGTCATGAATCCCAAAGCCCAAGTGTACGAGACCTACTCTGTGTGGAAGGGAGAGGTCCATGCGGGGTACATGGGCATACGATTAGAGATACTGCTCTTCTTCTCCTGCCCATCTCAATTACCGAGTCTAGGGCTTCACCAATAGGGCCGTGCACGCACGAAACGGCTCAGAACCCAGAGCCGTTATACCCTCAAGTCGTGATGCCCAAGCGCCCAACGCTCCGAACCCAGACACCATTCGGTCACTCGCCTGGAGCTGGTAATTATTGAGCCCACATGCAAAGCCCCAAATCTGTCGGCATTCGGCGCTGAAGTAACCCAGTATATCAGTATATCATAATGCCTCAACCCAAAAACCTAAAATCATGCAGCTGAAGAAAACTGCTTGTGCGTTCCCGGGCAGTGTCGGACAGCTTCATGTCCACGAAGTCATGGTCACATGTTTCCAAGATTTTTCATCTGGGTCTCTAAGTAAGGCTGTGAAACCAGGACGGAATTTGTTGGAGTAGAATTGCATTTTGGGCCTGGTAGCCCAGTGTATTCGGGTGCCACCGATCCAGCCGCGCACAATGGATGCGAAGACAGCAGCTTTCCGCGACGAGTCCAACTCTTGCAAGGGGAACGAAGTGTCGGTCCATGGAAGACCAGTTTCTCGGTTGCAGGAACATTAGGGCTTGGGTTTGGCGTTCTAAGACAGCATAGCATGCAAACAGCATTCTTCTGAGTGCCAACACCTAGTACAGACCACCAGGACAACTAGAGCAGCAGATGATGACAGTGTAGAGACATGAACCAACTGCTGCATCGTTTTGCGGAGCCTGAAGCTATCCTCAGCAGGGTTCAGCATGATAAGGCTTCGTTTTTTCTGCGTCAACATTACTTTGCCTTGCATTTAGGACAGGAAGACTACTTGAACGGTATGCTGTGATAGTAGCCCTCTCTGTTTTGGAAGGGTGGCTCAGGACCAGTGCAAGTGGAGCAGGGTGGAGAAACCCGGTGATGTGGCACCACATCCGACAAGAACCAAAGCTTGGTTTGACCAGTGCTTTTCAGGAACTGCTTCTGCATGTGCAAACTCAGATCCAAGTTTTGGGTTGGTCATCGCCAACAGCACTGCCAACAGCACATCCGACGATGTCCAGTACCGTCACTTGGATGGCGTGGGTTATTGTGCCCAATTGGTCACCCTCGCACTAAAATCGCTTGACTACAGCAGCGTGTTCGATATTGAAAATCTTACCAGCACGGAGGCTCTGGATCTTGTCGCAGCTTTGTTCTCAGCCTTGCACAGGTTCTCGCGTCCATCGCTTGTTCTGTATTATGTCGGTCACGGATTCCAATTTGATGGTGGGGAGGTGGCACTGGTTTTTCGTGATGGTATCGCCTTATGCCTCTATGATCTGCTGGCAAAGCTTCCTAAAGCAACGCAAACAACGTGCTTCGTGGATGCTTGCCGCGCAAACGAGGGGGAGACGGCAAACATTCGACCGGCTGGAAAAAGGTCATCCCTGAGGAGCGGGCCGCAACAAATCTGCACCATCTTCGCTTGTGGGCCAGGAGGTTGTGTGCCAGATGATAGTACATTTGCGACAGCGTTGGCCGATGCCCTGAGAGTTCCAGGCTTGTCCTTGGATGGGATTTACCAGCACATTCTTTCGGCCCGCCGTCAAAATGACATTAAATCTCGCCTTTTCAATTTCTCATGTCCGACCTTTGTGCAAACAGGGCTGTCAGATTGCATCTTGAATCCTGCAAAAGATGGTCCCTCTACAGAATCGTCAAGCCAGCGAGACAAAGCTCCAGCAAGGGTGCAGGTAGCAACAGCGACTGCTTCCGGTTGTAAGGGCAGCGCCCAACTTCTCGCTGTGCCCGAGCTGGTTGCTGAGTGTGAGGACCAGTCCTTCGAAATAGCTGTGCTTCCGCCTGATGAGGCGATGGCTTTGGTTGGCTCCTTTCTCCCTGCAGGCCAAGCGCAGCTGGGACATAGCTTCCGATTGTATCCAGAAAACGTGACATTCTCGTCCCCTGTTCAGCTGATCCTGCCTTTGCCTGATGTTGCTGCCCACTGGCCATTGGAGGCCTTGAGAGTCTGGAGAAAAGATGTTGTCACGGGAAATGTCGACTTTTTGGACAAGCTGGAACGGCACAACAGCGGGGTCCTGGTGCATCTTGACCATTTCTGTGTCGTTGGAGCAAGCGTTGATCCTGACTTTCAGTTCTGTGTGCGGCTCCAGCCGCTCATATCCTTGGTGCCGCCGCAAGGTTCCAGGACATTATATGCACTTGCCCTGGCACTGATACCACATGGATGTTCGGAGGAATCAACTCTCCTGAATGGCGACTTTTCTCACTATCACAAGCTGCCGCCCAGCTTCGTTAATCTGAAATATGGCGCCGAGTTCGAGTTTGCAAGACAATCTAGTCATTGCATCCTCCGTGACATTTTGATGTGGAAGTTTTGCTTCCGCCAGCCAGCACCTGCTCTCAAGAGCACGTTCTACGGCACTCATCAAGTCCATTCGATGGTGTGGGATGCCGAGCCTCAGGATTTTCCGCTCGCAGCTACATTCAGACATGGCCCCAATCGTGTACCGATTGACATTCTGCCGCCAGGTGTTGGCTTGCAACAGCCGCTGGCATACAGAGGCTTTATGGCGAAAAGATTTTCCAAACTCGTCTTGATATGCCTGGGTTGTCAGGAATATGACCACACATGCACCAAACACAGCACGAACAACGATTGCCTGACCGCGCAATGTCAGAACCAATGGTGGCCACTGAAGGGCAGCAGGAATGATTGTACACGCCTTAGCGCCACCCTGGCAAAGTATGGTTTCGATGTCATTCCTCTGCCTGACGCCTCTTCGTCCAATCTGGCCACAGTGTACCAGCAGGTGAAGGCCAAGATCTTTGAAGAAGGCTCGTGCTTCGTTTGGCTTCACTACTCGGGACATGCGGTGTCAATAGGCGCATCTTCGGTGTTGGCTCTGAAGGACAACCCCAAAGGTCAATTGACTGGGTTAGTGCCTCTGGCTGAGATTCAAGCCGAAGTGGCTCCTCCAACTGAGCGAAGTCTTCTTGTTACAACTTTTGATGGATGTCGGCAATCTATGTCATATGATGATTCATCACTGTCACAAGAGCTGCAGGCCATGCGGGACCGTCTTGACAGGTCTGCTTTCAAGTATGGCAGAGCCGTGTGCGAGAAGCTCCAGCTCAATGCCTGCATGGTGGCACACGCGGCGCATGAGACAAACCACACAATCAGCGGAGACCTGACGCATGAGGTCCGCAAATGCTTAGAGAGCGAACCTGACTTGCCCCTGGCAGAAGTGTTTCGGACGGTGAGGGCGAGGGTGAAAGACATATACCGCGGCGGGAGGTTGAACCCCGGGCCGCTCCAAGATCCGGAGGTCATAGACCAATGCTCCGATGTCCGCCTCAGGACCTTGAGAGTCTCAGCCTGAGGATTTGTGCCGAAGTGCCCAGGATGCCCAGAAGAGGGCCTCCCCCAACCACAAAAAATGGAGGCACCTACGTTCTCACAGTGGAGGCTTTGACATCGACGCATGCAAAGCAGGTGCTGAGAAAACGTGCTTTGGATCACGAAGGAAGACTGGGTGGGGGGTTGGGGGTTACCACTCGCAGGGTGAAGAAGTCGCAAGCAGCTATGTTCTACTCAGGTTTGCTGGGCTTTGCACCATTCTGCAAGACGAAGTTGTTTGCTCAGCTGGGCTGCGCGAAATGTTAAACCAGAAGTTACCAAGCAAACGGTGGTGCCCCTCTCTCGCAGGCTTAGGTGTCACTTCTGGTTGAACTCTAACAGTGCAGCAGCTGTTTCATGCGAGTGTATGTGTGTGTGTGCGCGTGCTATCAATCATGCAACATGCAGGTTTTCATCCATACCAGGCCGAGAAAGCAGCATCAGTCGCAGGTCTCGGAATTAGCCATGTTTTCCGAGCTGCTTTGCATTCGCGCTTGACATTCACCAGCTTCATCTACATCGAGAATCGATGAAAACTCTTGAAAGATAGCAGCGGTCATACGACTAATGGTAGCTTCGAAGCTCTTGTGCTGACAATATCCATCTCTCGGTGCAGGCAAGATGCAACATGTTCGGCTGCACGCAAAAAAAAGTTACTTAGTCGAAACCTCACCTCGTAAGGGGGTTGTAAGGAGCGGCTACGGCGTACCTGGCTTGGGATCAAAAGCCTCTTCCAGGAGCAGCAGAAGTATGGGGCCAACTTGGACGTCGACGTGTCCTACCAGTCCCCTTGCAGCCTTTAGGAAGGTGACGTATACAACTTGTGAGGCTTTCATTTTTTTATTATCTTTTACACTTCGGCCTCAGGGTTTACGCCACCCAGCTGCAGTCGTCAAAATCTCGACGCTTGAGATCCTCGATCCATGGGTCTTTTGTAGCTTCCATACACAGCCGGACCCTCAGGTATTTGAAGATCTGGTTGGAAGACGACGAAGAGTTGGAGAAGATCGGCACGGAGTACGCTGCGGGCCGAATGCTCACAGGGGAGGTGAAGAGGCTCGTCTGACATCGCTCGGCCATGGGGATGTGCCCGGCTTCATGCATAAATGCATGCATCCCCAGATTGTGCACATTTGCAGGGTTGCTGCTGTAGGAGACGAGGTCCTTCAATCTACCCTCGATGTGGGGTCAAGTTCGAAAGCTTGTCCGTGGCAAGTCGGTCTGTTCTGACCTTTGGCCAGGGCCATGGATTCTGCATATGTATGGACCTTGGAAATTAGCTAGAACGGAGAGTTTTTGCATGCATAGGGTTTTGAAACACATTTTCAATTTAGTTAGTTGCATATCCTGTCTGAGTACATCCTGTGGCCACTATGGTTGTCTGACGCAGCATCGGCATGTGGTGCATCGTCAGCCCAGGAAGCGCCTGGCCGACGTTGTTGGCGAGATCGTCGTCGAGCACCAGGCGTCCTCCTCGGAACATCATCCTGAAACCCTCAAACCCCTAAACCCTAAA